AAGCAGAACGACAAGTACATGAGCTTACGCACTGGCCGTATGAAGATTGGTGCCAGAGCTGTGTTGCTGCACGAGCAAAGGCAGATCCCCACAAGCTCCAGGGATCATTTCGAGATGAGACCAAGTCTGAGTACCCCATCGTGTCCATGGACTTTGCATTCACCAAGAGCCTGGTGGAGCCTGAGGAGGAAGATTTGGAAGATCTTCGACGCTATGGTGGAGATGCACGTGGTGGTGTTTCTTTGGTCATCACAGATGACTGGACACGTGGAATTCTGGTGGTGCCGACGCCTGGCAAAGGGCGTCCACATGTCAAGTTTCTGGCCGAGCAGGTGGTGCGCTACATTGGGTCTTGTGGTTTCTCAACTTGCACTGTGAAAGCTGATGGAGAACCCTCAACAAGGTTGCTTTTGGATGTGGTTCAGAAATGCAGGCAACGTTTGGGATTCAAGACCTTGGTGGAGCACAGCGGCCCAGACGACAGTCAAGGCAATGGCAGAGTTGAACGTGAAATTCAAACAGTTCGAGGCCTGGCAAAGACTTTGGTGAACCGTCTTCGAGAAGGAGCTGATGTGCAGATCAATGTGTTTGGACCATTGTTCCAATGGGCCCTACGACATGCTGGATGGCTCATCACACACTTCAGGCGCAAGAATGGAAGCCCCACAGCCTATGAGCAGGTGACTGGGAGGAAATACCAAGGCAAGCTGGCAGTCTTTGGTGAAAGGGTGCTTGCAAGGCTCCCAGGAAACAGTGGAGATGATAAGTTTCGTCCTGCAGTTTGGCTTGGGAAGACTGACAAGGCAGACTTCCATGTGGTGGCTACAAGCGATGGTTTGAGATGGACGCGCACGGTGAGAAGGCTTCCAATACCATTTGATGCAGCAGTTCTCAACAACGTGCGTACCTGGCCTTGGAGTGTTTCATATGGGCAGATTGGAACCAAGTCCACACCACTACTCACCAAGACAGAGAATGTGGCCCTTCCACCTGAGTTGTCAAGACCTTTGAGGTTGCAAGAGAAGGAGGAGAGAAAGCAAGCTTTAGCAGATCGAGCACGAGCACGACAACAAGTCCGAGCTCAACCTGCGCTGGAAGATGGAGTTCCAGGTGAGGCAGGGTCTGATGAAGCTGCTTCAGATCCCCTTTCAAGACAGTCTTCAAAACCTTCATCATCCCAATCCAGTTCTTTGAGCATGAGCATGCAGAAGGAGGTGAACGATGACACGTTGCTTGAGGAGCTGATGGGTGAGGTCAAGGAAAACAAAGAATATGCAGGTGGAGTTGAGGCGTCACCAAAACGTGGAGGTGAAGATGTACCAGAAGGAGAACAGAGCCCAGCCAAATCTTCGAAGGTATCACCAAGAAAGGCAATGAGAACAACAGGCCCTGGAGACCGACCTGATGCAGGAGCCAGTTCATCGACAGCAGAAGCTCAACCAGCAGGTGAACCGCATGTTAGAATGGTGGTTGAAGGAGAACTTCTTGAGGATGGAGACATGGACATGGAATTCCCAGACAAGCCTCCAGAGCTATCTCCAGATGAACTTGCAGAGATCGAGAACAAGGCTGCTGAGACAGAGATCCAAAGGCTGATCGAAATGGGTGTTCTTCGAGCTGCGCGACCTGATGAGGACCTGGCAGCTACTCCAACTTTGACAACACGCTTGGTTTGCGATTGGAGGATTCGAGATGGAGGTTGGCAACGCAGAGCCCGTTTGGTTGCAAGGGATTTCAACTGGCTTGACCCAAATCGGAGTGACACCTTTGCACCAACTGGCACTCAGTCAACTATGAGGCTGATCCCGTTGCTGAGCCAATTGAAAGGTTGGAAAATGGTTGTGGCCGACGTGAAGGACGCCTACCTGAACTGTGAACAGCCCAAGAATGTCAAGGTGGTCTTGATTGAGCGCAGATCTAGCTGGACGTCTTGGAGTGGCCCGTGAATGGATGCTTGGAAAAGTGCTTCCTGGACAGCGTGAGGGAGCAGCAGTTTGGTTCAACACGTTGAAGGCTACGCTCAAAGATGGTGGTCTTCTACAATGTCCAGAAGCTCCAACAGTCTGGACAAATGCATCAAGGACTTTGGCTTTGATGACGCACGTGGACGATATGGTGATGACTGGGGAGGACATGGAGCTTGAGAAGACGGAGTCCTTCCTGAAGCAGAAGTTCAAGCTGGCAGTGGAAACTGGGAACCTACTGAGTTTTTCTCAAGAGGAGCATCGAGATTGCCAATGGTATCACAAAGATCAGGATGAACGAGAAGTACATTGAAGGTTTGGTGAACCTTTTCCATGGAGTTAAGAAACGCAGAACTCCTGGAGACATCATCATCGACAACGAGCCTTTGGTGGATGAGCAAGAGATCCAGAAGTACCGCAGTGCAATTGGCACACTTCTCTATGTGTCAGGAGATCGACCGGACGTGCAGTTTTTCATCAAGGAGTTGGCATCTCACTTGCAAGTCCCTACAAGAGGTGCCATGCGCAGTTTGACAAACCTCATCGGCTACATGGTCGCAACAAAGGACATGCACTTGGAGCTGACTGGAACAAATCCTTCAAGGAGCTTTCGACATCGTGCAGAAGGTCTCACAGATGCACCACAGTATGAGGAGAAAGATGGAGTCTGGTTGCTGGAAGTTGCAACCGACAGCGACTGGAGTGGCAACAAGGAGACCCGTTCTTCAACCAGTTGTGGGAGCATCTACCTTGGTGGGAATTGGTTGCATTCCTACTCAAGGACGCAGAAGCACATCACTTTGAGTTCAACAGAAGCTGAGTTTGTGGCTTTGGTTGGAGGAACTTCAGAAGGTTTGTTTCTACGTGCAGTGGTTGCTCATTTGGTGGATGGCGACGTGGAGCTGAAGGTCTATGGAGACAACACTTCATCGATTGCAGTGGCTTCGAGAGATGGAGTTGGAAGGTTGAAACATGTGTCTGGCCGACTTCTATGGATTCAACAGCGACAGCAATGTGGAGATCTACAACTTCGAAGGATCGATACGATCACCAACACCGCAGACCTTGGGACGAAAGTGCTGACTGGCAAGCGTGTGAAGTTGCTGATGTACCTCTGTGGCTTTGCAAACGACTGGGGAGACTTAGGAGTTGCAGAGTTTGAGGAAGAGAAGCTGAAGAAGCAAAACCGAGAGAGAATCAAAGCAGTGAGAAAATTGGTTTGTGCTGAAGCTTTGGAAACCAACGAGAAGCACACAAGCACGTTGGTCAATCAGGTGGCAAAACGTCTGATGCGGCTGACATTGGGAGCTCTCTTGTTGAGTGGTGGAGAAGCCTTGAGCCTACCTCGCCAGAGCAATTTGCAGTGCTTTGTGGAGGTTGAAACTACAACTTTGTCTTCGACCTGGACAACAACTATGTTGGTGGCTGTTGTCTTCATCCTTGTGATTGCCATCGTGGTCCTGCTGAAGATCATGCACGTGATGCACTTGAAGATTGAGGCTACGAGGGACACTATGGATTGGGTGAGACAGCAGTTGCGTCAGGGAGAATGGAGACAGAGAATCCGCAATGAGGAGCAGAGAAGGCTTGGAGTTTGGTTGGAAACAGATGATGAGGAGGAAAGCTTTCATGAAGAAGCAGAAGAAGAACAACAACGTGAAACAGGAGGTAGTGCCACAGTCAATGGTCACGACGTGCACATCCGAAGAATGACAAAAGAGGAGTTCTACCACGGAGCTGAGGAGAACCTGGAATCCGAGATGGAAGAGATCGACGTGGAGGTTTTGGTGACACCAGCAGCAGCTGGAGCAAGCAGTGCAGCAGCTGGCCCAGATGCAACAGCTGAGGAGTACGACTACGACTGGGACAGCATTGCGTTGTCTGCAGAAGCTCTTGGTGCACCTGGTGATGATGGCTATACAAGCAACATGGACGTCGAGCAGGAAGAGCCAGAAGAAGATGATGACATGGAGACGGAGTACGGCTCTTTGGATTTGGTCAACGAGGATTTCACGGTCTTCGAGGAGCTCAACCCTCAAGAGTATGACGACTACAGGTTCATACTTCTTTCAGAATCCCGAGGGGTGGAGCACTACATCGTGAGGAAGTTGGCATGGTTGAGATCACTCCCAGTGACGCGAGATGTTTGGATTGGCATCCACCTGGAGGTACCAATCTGGGGTTGGGGTGTATCTTTTACACCCAGAACCAAAATTAACACCCTTGGGCGTATCTTGTGGGACAGAAACACCCTGGGGCGTTTCTATGCAATGCATAGCCTGAAAGAAACACCCCTGGGCGTTTCATGTTAGTTCATGGCCTGAAAGAAACACCCGCAAGGGTTTCTTGGCAAGTGTATCATCGCGGATCATGATCAGCTAGTTGGCTTAATCTTTTGAAGGATGTGGTTTTCACATCAAACATTGCCTGCAATGTTGCTGGTAACTTTGCGGGTTTTACATTGGGTTTTCAGCTGAAGCCTGAAAATACATCTTATCAGCCGTAGACGCGCATTGCTCACGGAAAAAATGGTCGGAAAAATCTCGAGTCTCAACATCAAAATGCATCTCAATCTCTCATGGCACGGTATCCATTTCTACCTGCTGCATGTATCTGTCCATTAACCTATATATAGGTATACCTTCTTTTGGTCTATTTACAAAGAACACACGATTACGACTGCAGCAACAACATCTCATTTGGTGAGGGAAATTACGAAATGATTGCCATCATCATATTGACGAATTTGGGAAAATGCAATGACCAAACTCGAGGCAAACATGGTCGACAACTCCTGATATCATGTGAGCCCGGCCCACTGCCCACCCTTGGATATAGATATCTGTCACCAAATCCAAATTATGGCACAAAACCCGTCTGAAAATATAACCGCATTTTTGGTGAAAGTCTTTAGAATTCTTTGGCCTTTGAAAAGCAAACCAAAATCCATCATGCGTCTGTCTGCGTGCTGCACCCGCGGTTTTTCGCATCATTGCGGTTGGTGAAAGCTGCCACGAGCAACGCCTAAGAACGAAATCAAGACTTTTCGAAGGGACTTAGCTTCATCTCCCTCCACTGCAATGCTCGCTTCAAAGCATATCTCCGGGCCCAGGTTAGCATGTACGTGGCCCCATGGCATCCTTGGCATATGCAGCGGATTTTCCCCATGTAATCCTCATCTCCAAATGTCGATGCATGCATCAAGCAAATTTGAGTCTCTTCAAAATGATCAACCATATGCACAAAATAATGCGTCTTGGGTCTGCATTTGTAAAGGAGCCGCTGCTCAGCCAAACAGCGTGCAGACAGCCATTGATAGGATGCAGAGTGCAGCCTGCAAAGCCACGTGACCTCTCTAACTGTAGCCCTCAACATGACAACTTTGCCATTCACATTCCATGTGCTGAGGGGCACATCCAAAGACCAACAGCACACTGCACGCATCTTAGCATGCATCTTCTTGGCATTGGTGTCCAGGGCATCTGAATCAGCAAGCCTCACCATCATCCAAGTTGTAAACGCGAAAAGTGTTCTTGTCTTGGCGGCTTTGATTCGTGTATCCAAGGCAGGCATCGGCCAATGGCGGTACTTCGGCCGGCCAAGCCTTGCCATTGAAAGTGTGCCGATACCAAGCTGCATGTCTTGATCTTTGGCCCATGCAGCTGCAAGATGGCTGAACGCATGCAAAACTTCATCCCAAGGCTTGCCAGTCAAACCGAAAAAAGATGGAAGACTGCCATCTTCCAGAGAACTTATAATAGCTGCAGGTATGAGATCACGCAAAGTCCCCAGATGCACTATGTGAAGGAGATCAAGCAATCGGCGTTTCTTCTCAAATCTCGGAACCTGTGTCCATGGCGAAATGTCATGTGGATCTGTTAATGTGAGAGTGCTCCGCCACAAAGATTTCAAAGACAAGTTGCCCCAGCTAAGCTCTGGCGATCTTTTGTTGCTTGTTGCTAGGCAAAAATCACAGCATTGCGCGCACCTGTAGTAGCGCTGCGTTCTGGTAAGAAGGTGGGCATACGCATGGGCTTCCATGTCGCCTTTCCAGAAGCAGAAAGCCCCAGATCAGTTTTGAAGTGGTGTCTTCCATGTTTTCAACGCCAAAAACTCTTTGAACAGATCTGTCGTGCATGGTATTCCCTGGCAACATATATAGCATGTCAATGCTAAGCCCTAACAATTTCAAACATGACTGTCGTGCATGTCATGAAAAGAAACCTGGGGCTTGCGCCCCATTTATAGATTCTCATGTGCCATGCATGAAAAACATGAAAACATTTATACATATAGTGCACTTGTGAATCCAGTTCCAAAATAAACACAAACTTCCAAAAAAACTACGTTTAATGTCCAGTCGCTGCTTTCACCGAAAGTTGTTGTCCTGCTAGCCTTTCCCGTGCAGAACCCAAAGGATGGAATCGACCAGAATGGTCAACAAATGCATAGGTTCCCGATTCCAACTGCTTGAAGTCCCAAGCTAAAATCCGGCAGATCTCAGACCTAGTATCTTCAGTGACATGCGATGTGCCCATGACTGCGATGGCATGCTTGACTTTCCAAGAGTCACCCCGCAGACAGCCAGTGCTCCAGCTCCAAACTGTGGCTGTGCTACCTCAGGAACGAATTTCGGGGCGTGTATATAGCTTTGTATTTGGGGCATTTTGGGGCGTTGAGATGCCATGCAACTCTTCTGATTGATTCGGCTGTTCCAACACATTTTGCATTTGAAAAATGCTGAAGTATTGCAACCACATGCCTGAAAAATGTGGAACTCCATCTTCATGTATAATGATGGGCACGTGTGTTGATGCCAGCTCGTCACAACCAGATGCACGCCACATCTTGCCGAAGTCTGCTGGCGACCCCAAGCATTGAGCCATTACCTCAACGCAAGAGGCAGTTCAACAAATTAATTTCACTCAAATGTAAACTGGAGAGAAAAAGACTGATTCTGGCAAAACACTTCTGGCCCTTGATCGTGCAGAGCTTGTAAATGATCACTTGGCAGGACCATTGCTATGTCAGCAGTACCACGGTTGTCAAAACTTGAACTTTTGTTGGGATCTGTCTTGACCGGGACTTGTGTTTTGTAGATGGTCAGCGGCACCCTCATCCAACGAAAAAAATCGCGCTCTCGCGAGCCCATCATCTGCTTAGCACCCACCTGCACACGCACGCATGCACATATACGTGTTTTATATAAGTAATATAGTGCACGCACATGCTTGATCAAAGGGATTTTGTATACATCTGCACTTAATGTCTGGAACAGAAGCATGCGCCTTTGAACCCCCATCATGGATGAAAGTCTGAGCACACTCCGCAGCCGCACGCACAGAAAGTTTCCCTTCAGAAACTCGCTCTGCCATTCTGCAGATCAAAGCGCTATCAACATCATCCACATTCCTGAGCTCGGCGTCACATGCAGCACTAACGGGGCAGGGGTGAGTTTTCACCTTTAAGGTATGCACGGCATATGACATGCGTCTTCTCGTCTTCTGCATTCACATCGGATGGATGATCATCAATGTATGAATCCTGGACAAGAAACATTTTTTTCCTGTATTTGTGAGGCAACTCATGGGATTCCTCGAGATCTACGCTTGACCTGCGAAGGGGTGAGAATTTGACAGTATGCTGCCTGAAAATCGCACATCTCCAGTTTTCGAAAATACATACAGTCATGACTGTAGACTTCACTACTGCAGAAGCTCAAACGTTCTTTATTTTTTTCTCTCATCATCACGCGGCCGTGCATGGCCCGACGCACTCATGAGCGTCCATCGACAGAACGCATTTGCATCCCCAAAGGCTCACCCCGAGCTTTAGTGCTCAGGTTTGGAGCCAGCCCAAGCAAATGGGACTATACAAATGGAAAGCCATTGAGGTGCCCCAGGCACAAGAAGAAGCCATAGCCTGCCTTTGATCACTGCTGGCATCCACAAAACTTGCCATGGTTGGCGCACACAGCTGTCAAAAAAAAATAAAGTGAAGCCATGCTCTATTTTTTTGACATCTTTCAAACCCAAGTCATTCAGATCGCCATGCAAAACGGATCTTTTGGGCCTAGGCGGCTGATTTAGCCTTTGCCTTGGCTTTGGCAGGCTTCTTATTCTGCTGTCTCGAAATCGCATTTCCAGCCGCATGCGGCTTTTCAAATTGCTTCTGCAGCGCGATGAACTCCTTCACCAACGGGATGTATTCATCCTCCTGAAGCTGATGCACATCCATGCATCATGAATGAAACTTGCAACGAACAAAAAGGGATGCATGAATTGAAAAATGGACACCCAAAGGTTCATGCATATAGTGCTCCTCATTCTTCTGGTCATTGATCATGGCTTGGATCTTCAAATAGAGCTCCCTCGGGAATTCGTTGCACAATGAGATCATGTACATTTCCCAGCAATGCAAATTGAAAACCATGCAGTGTGCAAGCCACTGGTGCTCCATGTGTGTAACTAAATTTGGAAAAAACGACTTGTTGCCAAGAAACTCAAACTTTTTGGCAAATTGGGTCATCTCTGCGCTCAAAGCGTCCGCGTAAGCAACTGACTGCAAAGTCAACCCCAAGTTGCTTGCGTCGCTCTTCTTCTTCAAAAGCTTGGTGCACATGTCCTTGGCCTTTTGCAAGGGGGTGAGAACGGTCTGTTCAGTCGCCTTCTTCACCTTAGCTCTTTTTGCGGGAGCCTGGTCTGGTAGCGGAGTGCCCGGAGCGGACGCTGGAGTCGTTGGGCTTGATTGCACTGAGCCCGCATCTGAAGAAGACGGTCTCTTGCCGCTTGACTTTGGTGGGCCCATCCTAAGAACGAACACATCTAAGATTCAATCATATGAATACAAATGATATTACCTCACATCAAATGTGCTGCATCTGTTACAAAGCCAAGAAAATTGCAACTGGATCACATGATCTCTGCAACGTCCGCAGCATTGCTTGCATTCACCTGGACCCTGCTGGTGGTGACCGCAGTTCCTTGCGCTGCATGGCCATCATTGAAGTCAATGCAAGTTCCAAACGAACATGTGGTATCACCATGGTCTGCAGGATGTGCAACTGCAGCAAATCAAAACTGTCATGAATTTTCCTGAACAAACAATCCAAGAAAATTCCCGTCCCGGCCTGATCTACTGAAGTTGTCCTCTTCGTCCTCCCTTTGCGCCACTAAATAGACAATGCCATCGGGGCAATTCTCGTCCTCTTCCACCATGCCCATCGACTCCTTGTGCTTCATCACCTTGTCAGCATCTTCTCCATATGCGTCCTGCATCTGCTTCTTCGTCCAGCGCAAGGCTTTCTTCCTGGCAGAAAACACTCTACCACGTTCCTCCATCTGCTGCAAATGACATTGCACCTGCTCCAACTTGCCACCATTCTCGCAAATCATGGTGATCAGCTCGTTCTTCTTCTCTTCGTCAAAAACCATCTGATGGAGCGATGGCATAGTCGTCAATCTCCCAGGGTTTTTTTTCAGCCTCTGGATCAAATTCGCCGCTGCTCGGCGGGTATACTCTCCGTCGGGCTGGGCGGTTTGAACCCTTCCAGCAGCTTGGGGTGCGGGAAATTGCTGGACCTTTGCAGGTGCCATGGCTAGCTGAAGCTTGCCTTCAGGAGCTGCGGCTCCAACAGAAGGTGCAGGCTGCACAGGCTGAACGGCTCCAACAGAAGCTGCAGGCACAGGTTCATGAAGGGCTGCGGCTCCAACAGAAGCTGCAGGCACAGGTGGCCCATCCTCTCCAGGAAACACCTGACTTTTCTTCCGTACCAATGCATCTGCAGGCTTGTCTGACCCTGAAGCATTGCTTGGAAGTGTGCCCTGAGGACTAGCTTGAGGTCGACATGACTTCATTGCGTTCCATCCCATTGCTGCCAACTCGATCTCAAGGTCACTTTTGGGCTTCTCGGCTTCGGCCGGTGGGGGCATGTGCACCAAAGCAGCGTCTATATGTCCAGAAACCATATCTCCGGGTGCTGCCTGGAACTGCTGAGGGGGTGCCACTGCAGGCTGCTTTGGCATCACAGGAGAAACCACAGGCTGGGTTGGCTGCTTGGGTACCACAGGTTGAGAGGTCTGCTGTGGCAGCACCACAGGTTGCGCTGTCTGCTTGGGTAGGACAGGCTGTGGCGGCACCACAGGTTGGCTAGGCTGCTTCGGTACTGCAGGCTGGGACACTGGCGGTGCCACAGGTTGGACAGGCTGGGCAGGCAGGCTAGGCTGCATGGGCACTACAGGCTGGGCAGGCTCTAACACTGGCGGTGCCACAGGTTGGATAGGCTGTGAAGGCAGGCTAAGCTGCATGGGCACTATAGGCTGGGCAGGCTGTAACACTGGCGGTGCCACAGGTTGGGCAGGCTGGGCAGGCAAGCTAGGCTGCATGGGCACTACAGGCTGACCAGGCTCTGACACTGGCGGCACTGGTTGCAGGCTAGGCTCCATGGGCACTACAGGCTGGGCAGGCACTGGCACTGGTGGTTGGCTAGGCTGCATAACTACAGGCTGGGCAAGCTCCACTGGCGGCACCACAGGTTGCATGGGTACTCCAGGTCGATGAGGTTCAAGTGGTGGCATGAATGCCACAGGTTGGGCAGGTGCTGCCATCACAGGTGCAGCCTGCATGTGTTGCACTGCAACCGAAGGCATGACGCCACCAACCACTGCAGGCTGCACAGGGGCCGGTGCAGGCATGGCAGCCCCACAGTTCGCCAAGGCCATCTGGTCAACGTCCATCTCCATGGGCTGCGTCTCCAAAGAAGACACGTCCACCTGCAATTTGCAGAAATCAATTTGGAAACAACCCAAAAATCAAAAAGGTGCACGCCAAACAAAGACCAGCATCGCCAGTGAACATCAAAATTGAAAACATAATGCAGGTCCCGGAGATTGGAAAACATATGTTTTTCATATTCCTCCACGATTTTGCGAAGAATTTCGAAACTTGTGAAAACCAATGCACATGTTCAATGCATATCATGTCTGCCCTTGCAAGCATGAACCAGCCTGTGTGTCTCCAAGAGTGGCCACGCTTGGCTGAGTTTCTCCTAGTGGCATCGCCGGCAGTGGCATAGAAAGATTAAGCCGCTGCCTCGGAAAACAAATCAATGACCGTTTGTGCCATCACAAGACATGCAAAAGCAAAACACAGGCAAAAGTTTGAACTGCACTAACAATGTACAACTGTTCAAGTCAGGTTTTCATCAGGCTGACAACCAACTCCCAAAAAACTGTGCTATGTTTGGTTTTCTGTTTCTTTTGTTTCCCAAACAGGTTTGATGCGAACATGTGCCGCAGCACAGCCTCATAATGGAATAATTGTCAGTCTATGACTATGAAATGTATGTTGATTCTTTGCAGCATTGTCATTTCACACAAACTGCCATACAAACCTGTATTGGAAAAACTTGGGGCCAAACCCATCCACATGCATCTGCACGTCAGGAACATTCGACTGGCTTGGCAAGCCTGCAGCACCTGCATGCATTACAGCCCACATTTAAAAAATCATTATATAAAAAAAACAAACTTGCACACGCATATATCATCACAACATATTTCCAGGTAAATCGTGTGGTTCACTTACAGCCACCTGGACTTGCTGTTTCCATCGCTTCACGGACAAACCCAACCATGTAAGGGTCAGTGGTCTCGCTCTGGGAAAAAGGAATTTCTTCCTTAACAGCCATGGTTCCCTGAGAACACTTGAGTGCAAAATGCCACGAACTGGCAAGAGCAAATGTGGAACCTCCAAAGGGCAAGCCTGAAAAAAAATTTAACAAAAAATCTGACATGAAGATCCCCATTCAAGGTCACATCTGGTCACGGGTGGTCACGGGTGGTCACGGGTTGGTCACGGGTCGGTCCCCTTATAAGTAGTATTGGGCGTTTCTCCCAGGTCACGGTTGGTCACGGGTTGGTCACGCCCTAAAATTTTAAAAAAACAAACATATCATGTTTGACCCGCATTTGGAAAACATATTGGTTGTTTCAAACATTAAGACTAGACCATGATCACGTATTTCAAGAACACTTGGCACATGCATGAACCCATGAAACATATAACAGGCATGAACCATGCATGGCAATGATATATCAACTATGTACCATGAGGCCAAAGCCCCGTTAAAACATGAAGCATGAAAACCGTATCGCACATCAATGAACACGCAACCAACTTTCTGCAGGCAACCCACCCATGTCTCCCATTCTTCATTCACACTTTTTCCCCCAAAGTTGTTACTTGCAAGTTTCAAGTCATTAGACAACTGTATAGATCTACACGTGTCGGAAAGAATTTGCATTCGAACATCTCAGCTCCTCCAAAGCCTCTTGCAACCGGCCCTCTGAGAAGTCGAAGTGTTGGAGTCTAGAGTAGGCCGCAATTCGCTTCTCAGGAAAAGCTGCAAACATGAAATTCAGGTCATCACATTGAAACCACACTTCAGTTGCAAACAAACAAGTGCATGTCATCCATATTGTTTTTACATACGAGTATTGTTTTTAGATGTATATGTTTATTTTTGTCGATTGAAGTGCCTCAACTGAATGACGTTCGGTTGAACCACTTTTGAAATCAAAAACGCACAGGAACCTCATTGAAAATGAGCAGTCCTTCATTATGTCAGCAGACACGTTGGAGCTCTGGACAAGGCACCATCGACGCCTTTCTCTCCTGCAATTGACAGGCATGCAGCTCTACATGTGGTGTTCTGTAAAACTATGGGCTGTTAACATGTGGTATTCTGAATTGTTGCAGCATGCGGTCCCGGCAGAGACAGGCCCATGAGCCATCCACCAACTGGCCAACGCCCTTCCAAATTCAGGCGTGTACAGCTGTGTCTGCTTGAGCCCTGGACCACCCTGCACTCTCTTGGCGCCGGATGCATCTTGATACCTTTGCAGCACGCATTTCACTCGAGAACAAGACATGGCGTGCCCAAAATTTCCCAACAAAGAAAGATACCCATCCCAACCAAGAAAGACATGCACACACACACACATCTACACTTGTACATCCAACTTGAAAGCATGGCACTGATAGGTAACCTGAGCGTCAGCTTGAGGTCGCTGGTCTTTGGGAGGCACTTTCATATTCATCAAAGGGTCAAAGGACTCCGTAGAATACAAAGCTGTGGGCTTTAGGGTTGGTGCTTTGAAGCAAGCCATGAAGACTTGGTTCAGTTTGAGCCTCTGCCCGATCCACCCCAGCTGCTCGGCCTCGTCAAAGTAGGCAATCACAGACTGCCATGCTGGAAGTGCAGTCATCACTGAACGGAGCGGCTGCTCCAACACTGGCATTCCACCGACTGCCCATGCAAGTAACGCCAAAACAGCTGATCTTCCGCCCAGAATGTTTCCAAGCTCGACGTAGCTCAAATCCTGCCTCCAACCCAATGGAAAAGAAATTGATCGGGTGTGGGTGCCAGAGTTCACGAAGTTGAAGGAGGTGCAAACGGTGCCGAGGTGGCAGAGTCCACCGCAAACAAGTCCAAGTATGGCCACCACTGCACTGACAAGGCCATGGGTGCTTGCCAAATCATGCGTCTCACTTCCTGAAGCACAACGCATGTTTCAACTGCATTATATATATATATATACTGCAAACCATTTTATTTTTCATGGGGCCTGCATGGTCTCTCTTCAGCGTAAAAAGCCAAGTTTCGTAAGAGATCAAAAGCTAGGGATTTGAATCCAAGCTCCGAAAACGCTTTTGCTATCTGAGATGAACGTTCTGAGCCTGCAAAAAATTCAATGCATCGCACATCTAAAGGGACTTCGAAGTTCAGTCCACGTCGATAGATCATCGCCCAAAGGACGAGCTCCACGAGGACCCACGGTAAGTCCAGTTGCGTGAAGCCATACACATCACGTAGCTCCTGGACAGACAGTGAGGCCAGCATCGAATACAGCAGGGCAAGCTTAATCATCGCCATGGCACCGGTCGATGGCGCGACAAAAATGCACACACAACCGCATGTTTTTCATCCTCATGCAAGTATGTCGGCGGAAAACTTCTGCGAATTCTTTCAAGAGCATGTGTTTGGAAGAAAATAGAGTCGTGTATCTAGCTGTGATGTGTATTTGAAAAATGTTCGACCTGTGCATGTCATAATACATACATCGTTTATACACGCAAACATGTTTCCATTGAACTTTGACTTAATGCTGCTTCGTGCAATCATCAACAGACATGAACCATGCATGACAGTAATGATATATATATATATATGATGTAATTACAAGAGGCCGAGGCCCCATGAAAGCATGAAAACCCTAAATATCAAAGATCAATGAACATGCCAGCTTCATGCCAACAAAACTCCAAGAGGAACACTTCACTGCAAAAGGGTATGCAAACTCACTGAAGGAGGGGGGCTGCGCCTGCAGTTGGAACTCGATGAAACTGACGGAGCTTCGGCAAGTTTCCGTCCTCTCGATCACAGGAAGCCATGACGATGCACTGCATGACTGCTATACATGCCAAGACAAATGAAAATTGGAGGAAACGTTTTCTTGGCAGAGTCTGCTTTTTTCCCCGTGCGGCGCATGTGCACGCAGACCCCATAGCAAATGTCAAGTGACAAGTGATCATCTATGACGATGACTTCAAAGTATTGAGCTCCCCAATGACGTTGTCAAGGGTTTTTTTGTTTTCATTTAGATCCAAAACCATTTGACCTACAATGCTGGAGCACTCCGGCTGCGCATTGCTACTCAGCTGGGCAACTTGTTTGCCCGTCGTATTGTCATGGATCGCGCAAACCACGATGATATCCCCAGAGTTGGCTTTGCGTTTGTGCTTCTTCATCAAATACTTAGCCTTGTCTTTGTGCTCTTTCCCGCATCCACCCGGTTTTTTCTGTGCTTTCTTCTTCTCAGCTGCCGGCTTCTTCTGTTGTTGCAACTTCTTCTGTCCTTATATATGTTGTTCCATTGTGGCTTCGTGTAAACCAAAAATCGCAAAAAACTCATGCACGCAGGCAGTCAGTTGGGACACTGAGACCAATTCCATTAGGGTCTGCAGGAGGAAGCTCATCATCGCTGAGTGCGCCAGCCATCTCCTGCATTGTTTCAAAACCTATACTTGCAAACAATTGTCCATTGGCCAGACTGTAAACAGCTGTAAACAAATTCTCATCTGTCATCCATGTGTCCTTGACAAATGGAGGCTCTGGAGTGATGGCAGCCTCCGCCACCGCATCAGTGCGATGTGGCCGAGGGCCAACCTAAGGAAAACTGCCAAGGTATTTTTATTCCAGATCAAACCTGTTCAATCTTGACATTGTTTTGTGCCAATTTTCATGTGCAAAGTTTGTTGAACCCTTGGTTTTTGAATTGACACTGACGCATGACAAGAAACGGCTGGATCATCTGAGACCTTTTCATCCTTCGAAGGAGGCTCGCCTCCCGTCCAACCACATGAAATGACACACAACAGAAAAACATTTAACATTGTTTGAAATCATGGTCACACATGTATTCACCGTTCTCAATTTGCAGCCTGCACAACAATATTTTTATCCAGGGCAGGCCTGACGGGTCGTCCAAAATCTCAACCACCTTACCTTGAAGAGATTGCATGATTTTCTGGCGCAACTGTGATGGAGCTTCCTGCGCAGGACAAAGCAAGCAGAACTGACTTCTTAATGTCAAGAAGGATGGCAATAAAAGCAGCAAACAAACATGCATATCCTGAGAATCTGCGTGAGAGCTCTGACTGTCAGACGGGTGCTCAATGGACGCTGGATCCTGGGCGACTTCGAATGTTTCCCTGATTTCCCTTACTTTCGTCTCAACTAATGGCACATCACCCCAAAAAAATGCCCACTGGTTTCAAGTGAGACTCAATGCCCCATGCTTTGCCAATATCATCGTCTACGAAGGGTTGCATGGTCTCAAAAAGATCGCGGATACCCGGCTCGGCTGCAACCCAAGCGGACCATGCTCCGTCTTTCATAGAATCACGGGCCTTTCTCCAAGTCCTTCGAGTAAACCTGCAGTTCGAGAGGATATTTTGCTACAAATTTAAAATTTGCACAACATGTTTACAGTTACAAGTCGTCTGGGCAGCTGAGGTGCTGCATCAGCGTTTTGAGGTCATAAACGACCAACCAAACCACACCATCCGGTTCAGTGTCACTTAGAAGCCGTCGAAAAATCTCAAAGAGACTGTTGTTATGAATAGGCATTGTCGGAGCCATGGTGGCCAACGGCATGAGGGCCCAAAGGAAATCGATGATCACTTCTTTCTTGAGGGTGTTGCCTTGGAACAGCTATAGGCTGTGCAAGAGGGGAAAACTTTTCGAATGTGTCATCCAAGAGACATGCTCGAAAAAAAACAATTTTATATAACCTGAAAAACATACCATCACGCCACGGTATTTTTAGGTTTGAGTCTGGGCGCCCTTGGTGGCATATTCATTGAACAACTTTGCAGGGGCTGCTTCAAGAGCTCCCTGTACTCGCTCAGGCATGAGAGAAGTCATTTGCTTATGGACTTCAATCACCTCTGCCTTCTCCAAAAGAACTTCGGTACTGTGTCGACCCATTGCTATACCCTCTGCATATGCTCTGAGCTATAGACCAAATTGCTGCGCAGCTGTACACAGAAGATTCCGTCATTGCTCCATACATGCTGCAAAAAAAATGGAAATCTTTGCAAAAGAGCCCAACATAACTCAACGTCCTTGAAGCAAGAGCCGGCGACGCTTGGACATTCACATGTCCTGCATATGCAGCGAGATGATGATACTCAGAGAATGGGTGATGGCGAATTGAAGTTTAACTGAAAAAGGAAGGTATGCCCGATTTGTCCAAAAAATGAAACCAAGTTTGATGAGTTTGATGTTTTTTTTGAAACAGCGGTTTCAGCAAAACTTGTCGATGATGTCTACCCGTGATGTTTAGAAAAAAAGGTCCAACCAAAATGCATTTTGATTGGACCTTTTTTCAAAGTATCTTGGGATGAAAATCAATCAGCTTGCCTCTCTGCAGGACAGCGATCAGCCATGCAAGTGCACCTGGCATACAAAACCAATGCGGGAGAATGACTGTAGACGTGAAATGGCATCTAAAATCTGAAGACTGTAAATGAAGCTGCTGCATCTGCCTTTTTCTTCTTTTCTGCCAACGGTTCCATCTGCTAAAATACAATCAAAAGCGTCTGAGTTCAGATCAAGTTGTTCGAGACTTCTTCGCGCCCGGTTCCGGGTGTGGCTCCTCGAGAGCCGTGAGAAATTCCATGAATTCCTCATCGGAGACACTTTCATGCAATCGCTGCCAGTCTGCATCTTCCCATGGAAGTTTGCCATAATCTTGAATTTCGCCCCCATCATTGGCGGCATCATCATCTTCTGGAAGTTCTGTAGCGGGGTGCTCACAGAAAGTTTCAGGCACCAAGGTTGTTGCTTCTTCCAGGCAAGTGCCATCATCGTCAGCTGGAAGCATAGTCACTGTGCGGCATGAAAAGGCCCCAATTGGGAAGTCTCCGCTTCCAAACTTTGCCTGGCTCCCACGCTTGACACTCTTCGCACCAATTGGGGCAATGCCACTTGGAGGGCCTGCGCCAGCACTCAGCTTCTGATTGAAGACAGCGGCAACTGCACTGTTGTTGGCATGGCCAACGATGTCCTGGCAGGGACGGAAAAATTATCAGACAAATTATACCTTTGCCACGCAGCAATTCCAAAATACAAAACAATAAAGGAACATTTGCAACATTTTTTTGACCTTTGCCTGCTTCAAAGACTCAATTTGGCGAAGACTTCGCTTAGCCGACTTTGCGTAATTGCGAGCAACCCTCTGGGCCTCCATGGCCTGATAGAACATCTGTGTTGCATAAGAAGCAAGGTCCTGCACACTTGCCAAAATCAATTTGGGAATTGGGGAAACAAAAAACTGTGGGAGAGAGTCCGTATATCGATTCGTGTCGAAATTGCAATCAAACGTGTTTTGTTATATAAATATATTATATAATACAGATTTCATGTCATGCAAGCATGCGCCTGGTCTTCAGAGCTCCCCCAACTGCAAGCCGAAGTTGCCTCAATGCAGACAACTTGGCATCCACATGCAAGAAATTGGGACAATTTTGGACATGATTTCTCGGTCTGTCTATTTTATTTATCTAACTCTAGCTATAGCTATCTATCTTTTGTATATGTCATAAATGTGTATGGCGACCCAGTGTTAAAAAAAAACAGGATGAACCAACTCTGAACGGGAAATCCTGCATCTGGATTTAATTCAGCAAGGGCGCATGGGTAACTTCCACAGGAGGCGGTGGCTTGTTAAGGCCGTGCTGCGCCCATAGGTCCAGGGGTTCAGCTGGGCGCTTGTCAATCCCGGGCTCGACAGGGGCCGGTTGGACCGGGCGCGGCTTCGGGGCAGGCCGCTTTGCGGCTGGCTGAACAGGGCGCTTCTTAGGAGCAATTTGTTTTGGAGCCATCTGTCTTGAAAAACTGCGAAATATATGTGTTGAAAACATCTCCATCACAAGCCCGACGCAACATGGAAGAAAGACTGTAGGTCACTGGAATCTTCAAACATTTTAAATTAAGCAGAATCATGCCGGTCTGCACGCAAGCTTCCAGCAAAGTTGGCCAAAGCTGCTCTCTCATCACCTGCATGGCGCTTGCGGGAAAGCTTGCGGGAAAACATTTAAACAACCGAAAGCAACAATTTCATACACCCATGTGCCCATGTGCTTACGTCCCACCTCACGCTTGAATGCTAGCACGCACATTGCTCAAACCATGAACCTATTTCGCTTTTTAATTACACAGACAAAATCAAATGACTATAGCTGCGCATTTTTCTGAAAACCATGCAGTAAACCAATTAAAATGACATACATGCAATGGAACCTTTCATGGCAATGAATCGCCAAAACTGTTTTCGGCAGAACCGTTTCTGAGCCACAGGCCACAATAAAATTTGCGCGCTTTCCTCCAGCCGGAAAACCTTTTCACATATTATTTCAGGGCAATATTGCTCATGATTGCATGTTTTCTGTATATTAAATTGTATGACGTGCGAGGCCGAAGCCCCATTAAATCTAAAATATGGCATGCGCATGGAAAACATATATTTGAATCTATAGCGAAGCAATCAATATACACATTCCTGGGCAACTCTGCAAGAAAGCAGTAAAATCTCTGAATTCCGTTCAAATAGTTTCCACCAAAATCGATGTTTTGTTGGATTTCCCCGAACAAAAACTTCTGCATGTCATCCCTTCTCGATACTTAAAAAAATGAGGTTTCGATTAGTGCACATCGTAGGCTTTCGTGAAATCTCTGAATTTTCCTTTAATCTGACTTCGTGTTCGCAAGAGACATCCTTAACCATATATATGAGGGAGGGTGGGAAGGGCCTCAGATTGCCGGGCGTTTCTTGCATCGGAGAAACACCCTTAACCTTCATGTGAGGGAAGGTGGGGAGGGCCAAAGATTGCATGGGCGTTTCTTGGGCTGGAGAAACACCCTTGGGCGTTTCTTGCATGGGAGAAACACCCTGGGCGTAAAAGATACACCCCAACCCCAGATTGGTACCTCCAGGCAGGAGCTCTTCTCGATGCACAAGTCCATTCAGCTGGGGGGAATCGAAACGCGCAAGCGCGCAATTGATTTCTTGCTTGGCCGGCGACGATATCATTTCTGGTATGATCGTGGCCGAGTACCGCCTGGTGAAAGTTTGGAAGAATCAGATATGCCCGATGAATGGATTGCAGCTCACTACGGCTGGGGAGAACCAACAACATTCCAGCCTGGTGAAGATGCAGGTGAAATTACATCGTGGTCACCAAGCGATGCAGAAGAAGGAGAAGAAAGTGAGGAGCCAGTTCGAGATGAAAGGCCCCCACCGGTCGTGAATGATGAAGCTGCAGTATCACCAAGTGATGGAGCAACTGGAACTACATCGACCACACCGACACCAGTGGCAACAGCACCATCGACAACACCCAAGGGAAAATGCGGTGGAAAAGGACGCACGGTGATTTACTACCGTGACCCTCCAATGGAAGACGAAGCAGATGGGCATGTGTAGAGTTTATTTGGCTGATGGTGATAACAACAACCTTCACCACAGCCGGCATAAAAGGCAGGGTGTTACACATGTCACCAAGAGACATGCACCCATGTCATAGCGTTTCAAATGCAATTTACTTCCTGAGGCTTTTCATGGCCCAAGCAAAACAGAGAGCTGCCGTGCAGGGTTTTGCTGCCTTGCAGAAACCATAGGGGACCAGTCCGTACTGAAAAGATGCAGATAAGGCTCTTAAAACTGATGCGTGTCTTGAAGAGTTCGAGTGACTTGCCTGAAAGTTGGTGCTTCAACAGGTGGTTCAGAAGAGTTGTTGATGTTGCTGTGATGTCTAATTCAAGATGTTTGGTTGCCTTTGATGGTTTGGGGCGGCATGATGGCATGATTAAATCATGGTTGAAACATCGTTGAATTAATTACTGGGCCATCATTGGCCAGCATGCTCCCAGGTATCATGCACAAGATCGAAATCTCCCTGGCGATGCCGTATCATCACCTGGCCCTGTTTCGATTCCTGCAACTTGGCACGGAAATTGTCCAGCTTTTTTCAGGCCATGATTCCAGCATTGGCGACCGGAGCTCTAAAAAGACAGGTCTACTGTAAGGACAGCAGTGGTTTCATGTTTTTTCCCGGCTCATTTGGGGACAACTCTGATGTTTTATCATACTCATAAGATCTCATAAGTATAAGATTTTAGACGTTTTTCAAATGTTCTGACTTTCCCAAATCATCCCAAATCAAAGCGATCCCAAATCAAGCCACGATCGCCACGGCCACGATGGACACGATGGCCACGATGGCTGAGGGCGTTCCTGCTGTTTTACTGCCATTGGCTGGCATGCATTTGGGCTATGTGCCTGCAATTGGTGGATCCCAAGTTCCCCCAGTGGATCGATGAGATTGAAAGGCGCGGGACTGCTGTTGAATCAAACTCCATCATGTTCGGCCAACATGTACTGACAGGTGTTAGCAGCGACCTGTATTTCCATGATATTCCATTTAAATCAATTTAAGATTAGCATCGTTAACATATTAAAGGCCACTGAAATTATATCTCTTGGGCCATATCCATGGAATCCATGGAATCCATGGCCATTCGGCAAAATTTTCCCCATCATCCCATGGAGCCACCAGGTCTGATGCGCAGTTTGGCATCGTGACACGCACCTTGGACGTCGGAGCGTGGGGAATGCCAGGGGCACAATCTGCCAAACCTTTTAAAACAGGTGAAATCTGGTGAAATATGGTGAAATTAGAAAGAGAGGGCCTATGATTATCTATGACATTTTTAAGTGGATTTTCCAGCCTCAAGAACCACGAAGAAGCTTGGAAACAAATCAGGTGAATTATGTTGGATTAGATCCAGAAATTGGTACCGATCATATTTTGAACGCCATGTCCATAGATGATTGCCATTCCTGCTTACAGGGCTTCCACATCCGCGACTTTGTGGGTCTGGGTGACAGTTAGGTGACAGTTAGTTAGATTTGTGTCGGCCTAGCTGCGTCATCCCGTAGAGTCTACCCGGCTAAACATGTCTTGTTTTCAAATTCCCTATAGTTGGAAATTCGAATTTCAAACTCTTGGGAAGACGGTCTCCATGCATCCAGATTAGGTTTGCTGAAATCTGAAAGGTTTGAAATTCAGATTTCAGTTGCTATCCCAGAGCCTCTTTGTGTAGGATTATAATTTGAATTCTAGCTTCTGGCCACATTGCAACAGCTAGCATTTGAATTCTGTCTGTTGATGCCTGTTTCGCTTTTTTTTCCCACCGCCGCATGTCTGCATTCAGTTGAAATTCAATGTTTGGGCCAGTTCTTCATTTGATTTGAACTTTGATTCCCGAGAGCGTCTGAGCGAAGGGTTCTTCTAATATATAGTGGGGGTCTGCTTTACATCTTCACATCTTCACATCTACATATCTCATCTTCGTATCTTCACATCTTCTCATCTTCACATCTGCGCACATCATCTTCTTATCTTCACATCTACACATACCATCTTCACATCTTCATATAATCTTTTCCTCTTCACGCCTTCTCATCTTCACATCTTCTCATCTTCACATCTACACATATCATCTTCACATCTTCACATATACACATATCACCTTCACATCTTCACATCTTATCCTCGCATATCATCTTCGCATCTTCACATCTACACATATCATCTTCACATCTTCACACCTTCACATCTTCACATATTCACATCTTCACATCTTCACATCTTATCCTCACATATCATCTTCACATCTTCACATCTACACATATCATCTTCACATCTTCACATCTACACATATCATCTTCACATCTTCACATCTTCACATCTTCACATCTTATCCTCACATCTTCACATCTTATTCTCACATATCATCTTCGCATCTTCACATCTACACATATCATCTTCACATGTTCACATCTTCACATCTTATCCTGACATCTTCACATCTTCTCTCCCTCTCTCTCTCTCTCTCTCTTGCCCTCTGTCACGGTCTCTCTCCTTCTTTTTCTTTTCTCTCTTAAGGCCACGGGCGGTGCCGACGAGGCGCCACGAACTGGCCACCCTTTCAGACGAAATGAGGGTCGATCGTCAAAACTGAGGGTTTTTTTGCGAATTTGGTTGGTCCTGTTAAAGTTTAAAGCGTCTGTGTGTAAAAGCTTCTGTGTGTAAAAGCTTCTGTGTGTAAGAGCATCTGTGTGCAAAAGCTTTTGTGTGTAAAGGCTTCTGTGTGCAAACGCGTTTGTGTGTAAAAGCATCTGTGTGTGTAAAAGTGTCTGTG